GATTATTATTATTATTATCGTTAATATTGTTGTTATTATTATTAGTAGTATTGAAATTCGAATATTATTACTATTACAACGCTTCTCTTTAACTTCACTTCTTGTTCTTTGTTTGTTTGTCTGCTACAAATTTTATAAGCGATATTAAACATACTTCTACCTCTTAATTCAATCGATCTGAAATTTTGCAAACTTGCGTAAAGTCAGAGACAATGCTTGAATCAATTGACAGAATAAATAATTTTACAAATTAAAACTTTTTTAATATTATAAACAAAAATTAAGAATATATTTATATATTTAAAAATACACTAACTTCATTGTACATGTATAAATCGGAGACACTGTCCTCTTTAGAAGTGTTGTCTTTAAAAAGAGTTTTGCTTTAAAAAGTAATTTTTAAACCCATATTATTATTACTATTATTATATATGTCAAATGAGTTCTCCGTCATAAACACAAACAAAACAAATCTCATGGTTATTTTGACTAGTGGTGACACCAGGGAAAATGTTTAGGTAAGACATTTCTAAAATAAAATAACCAACCCCCCCAAAGACATTCAATGAAGAAGTTAAGGCTGGAGAAGATATTAAGTTTATGTTGAAATCTAAACCTGAATTGCCTCTCTTTACAGAGTTCAACCGTAAAGTTGAACTGAATTGCCTTTATTTAAAGTTCAACCGCGACCCGTAAAAATGAGCTTTAAAACTACCGCCAAAGTTTGGGTTCCTCTCCCTCCAGGCTCTCTTGAAAAAGAAGCTGAAGCCATCAGGTCGGTTCGGCGACTTATGAATCAGGTTACTCCGAGAAACCACAAACAGTTAAAAGATTACTTCAGCGATGCCATTATAATGAACAGCTAGCACATGACGTCGATAGTGGACCTAATTTTTAACATAGCGGCTACTAAAGAATGTTACTCACTAGAGTACGCGAAGGTATGTAAATATGTGGTGCACATGAGCAACCCCTTAGGTTCAAGTCCAGAAGCAGCGTCTTTCAAGGCGGCCATCTTGGAAAAATGCCAACGAGAGTTCGGAAAGAAGCCCAGATTTCACACTCACAAAAAGGCAATGTTCTCGGATCAGGTTTGGAAATGCATTGATCAAGATCAGAAAACTAAGTTCCATATAGAATGTGGAAACCAGTATGATGAAGAGACTAAACTGCTGGTGGAAACTAATGAAGATGTAACTGGAGACTGTAAAAAGAGTTATGGCGGTCACCCTAAGGCTTCGGATGTACCAGCGTTGCTCGAGTCTGTTGGTCTCATCACGTTTGTGGGAGAACTGTACAAGCAGGATATACTCTGTGATGAAATAATGCTTTAAATTCTGCAAGACTTGGCAGCTAATATTCATTGTCCTGAAAAAGTCAAAAGTTTCTACAAACTTCTCGTACTGATCGGTCCATTTTTCTGGTCCCAAGTTGACGACGAAGGCATGAATCTCATCGAGAATTGCATGAATGATGTCAAGAAGCACTTACAAGTTGTGGAAGATCGTCGCATCAAGTTCATGTTAATGAAGGCGATCGATTTATACGACAATGGATTCGTAGCCAAACAATGCATTCAGAACCAACCAACCTACAACTCGGGCTACCAACTTTCCGAAGACAAGTTTCAAAACCAGCGCCGAAATTTCGGCTACAAGTACCGAGATGGTCCATACGTGACGAACTCGAAGCTCTGCGGTCTGGAAACGATTAACTCAGCGACGACCAAGCACGGTAAGCCTTTTGGCAGACCCAGTTGCCACAACTCGGACTGTAGCTGTGAAATTTTGATACACAGAGCTACTTTCTTTCTTTTATACACAGAGCTCCAAACTTTTACTCCATTTCCTCCAATTTTTTCTTCCCTTTCCACCAATCCTTGCCTCCCCTTCCACCAATTCTCTTCTCCCTTTCCTTCAATCCCTAATATCCTTTCCTCCAATCATTGCCTACAATTCTGTTCTCCCTTCCTTTTAATCCTTTGCTCCCTTTCTTCCCTTCCTTCAAATCCTTCCCTCCCTATCATCCCTTTTCTGCAATCCTTTTATTAATTTCCTCCGACCCTTTTCTCCGACTCTTTCTTCCCTTTCCTCCGATAATTTTCTCCAATCCTTGCCTTCATTCTAATTCCTCCAATCCCCACATATTCTCCCACAAAATACATGTTAAGGTGCAGGTAACATATCGGCGCGATAATATATATACAATAAATATACCCCTACATACAATATCTCGGCACGATAAGTATCCTGGATACGCGCCCCAACAGCCCCAATATACAATATCCCGACACGATAAGTATCCTGAATACGCGCCCCAACAGCCCCTATATGCAATAACCCGACGCGATAAGTGACTGTCTTTATTCAAATAATTTGAAATGTGTTTATTGATTCATTGATTTAAAATCAAGCTATTGTCTGGAAACAAAGTATTTTGACAAATTTCACGAATTAGCCCACACTGAAAACTTCTACAACGATCAAAATAATCAAAACATTACTTCAATAATTCTATTGTTTGTACACTCAAACAAATGGCTGAGATTTTGTCCAAATAGCTATGCACCGCAATTGTCTCCTTTCAATATGGAAACATGAATTCAAAATGAGACACATAAAAGAAAACCAGCGACAGATGGAAATTCAGAAGTCCTTGGAACGCATTTCGAAATGCACTGATGCTGATAAAAAGACTAAACTCGAACTTGAGCACAAAAAATATTTTTTTGACAGGATGTTTATATAAAAAATATTTTTTTGACAGGATGATCCTTCAACGAGAGAATTTGCTGAAGGAAATTGACGATTCAACGTGTGAAGAAAAGAAAAGGAACGCTGAAGAACAACTTAAGACTTTGGATAAGCTTGCGCTGCACAGGGCTGTTGGAATGATAACGTTTGTAGGAGAACTCTACAAGCAGGGAATGCTTTGTCCTAAAATCATGCTAACAAATTTGCGAGATTTTGCGGCAGATATTCCTCGCTCGGGAAAGGCAGAAATTTTTTTGTGAACTGTTGGTAACGATTGGTCCTGTTCTGTGGAACCAAGTTGACACTCGAGGCAAAAAATTATCAGGAATGTCATGAATGATGTCAAGAAGCTCTCGCAAGATACGGAGGATCATCGTATCAAGCATGTGTTGAAGGATGCTATTGATTTATACGACGATGGATTCGTGGACAAGCGTGCTTGTCAGAAACGACACACAAATGAGTTCCCCGTCATAAACACAAACAAAACAAATCTCACCGCTCAAACAAATCTCAAATTTCAAAACATTCACCGCTCAGCGCCTCTGAAGCGCCATAAAGTCTCTTCATTACCATACATTGAGAAACTGTACAACCTTGAAGTGGNCTGACAGAGATGCTGCTGACAGAGATGCTGGTGGCAGAGATGCTGGTGGTAGAGATGCTGCTGGCAGAGATGCTGCTGACAGAGATGCTGGTGGCAGAGATGCTGCTGACAGAGATGCTGCTGGCAGAGATGCTGCTGGCAGAGATGCTGCTGGCAGAGATGCTACTGGCAGAGATGCTTCTGGCAGAGATGCTGCTGGCAGAGATGCTGCTGACAGAGATGCTGGTGAAAGATGTAAGGATGTAAAATAAGTTCCAGAAGGCACTGAATGGGAGGCGACAACAGTTATTGGGATCGACCGCGACACGTCAGTTGGAAGTCAGTGGTTATACAGTGAGCAACCCATGTAACGGCATTGTCAACTTACTGTAGCGCATCTTAGTGACTTTAGTATAGCTGACAAGTACTGCCTTTAATGGTGATTTACACAACTAATTTATACTTCGGATAAATAAACTCTTATTAAGTTAAATGACTGGCTATAATTGTGCATAAATAGGAATCAATTAAACTGTTATTGTGATTTCGTATTTACCGAACAAAGTGGTCAGTATTGAAATATAATTTATTTCACGTGTATAGGACGGTCAAGCCGCTACTAGTATTTTGTATCTATAATGCCAAGTTTATACATTTAGTGGTCCTTTGATTACGATTAAAGTATATATTTTTTTCATAACAGTATTTCTTACTTGTTGTACAAGTGTATGTATCATCATCACAGTCACGTATCACTATCACAGTCAAACATCATTATCACAGTCGGGCATCACTTCATTAACATTAACCGTCGGAGTAAAATTAATATTTTTAATAGTACGGCCCAGAACTCGTAACTTTCTCGTAAGTACGGCCCAAGAACTCGCAACTTTGTCGTAAGTACGGCCCCAGAATTCGTAATTTTCTCGTAAGTACGGACACAGAACTCGTAGCTTTCTCGTAAGTGCGGCATCAGAACTCGTAACTTTCTCGTAAGTACGGCCTCAGAACTCGTAACTTTCTCGTAAGTACGGCCCCAGAACTCGTAACTTTCTCGTAAGCACGGCCCCAGAACTCGTAACTTTCTCGTAAGTACGGCCTCAGAACTCGTAACTTTCTCGTAAGTACGGCCTCCCAGAACTCGTAACTTTCTCGTAAGTACGGCCCCAGAGCTCGTAACTTTCTCGTAAGTACGGCCCCAGAACTCGTAACTTTCTCGTAAATACGGCCCCAAAACTCGTAACTTTCTCGTAAGTACGGCCCTAGAACTCGTAACTTTCTCGTAAGTACGGCCTCAGAACTCGTAACTTTCTCGTAAGTACGGCCCTAGAACTCGTAACTTTCTCGTAAGTACGGCCTCAGAACTCGTAACTTTCTCGTAAGTTCGGCCCTAGAACTCGTAACTTTCTCGTAAGTTCAGCCCTAAAACATGTGACTTGAACCCACGATTCAGAACTCAAGATTTGGCACATCAAAAATATATCTTCGCCATTTCTATGCATAGTTTATTATGGCGGCAATATTTATTAATAATTACTATCGTTAATGATAAATTATACCGCAGGCTTTAGAAAAAATCATAAAAATAATTGACTTTAATAAATTTTTTACAACACAATAATTAAATAATGAGCAATATTATTAATGAGAACTTCCGCAAAGTTCAAACGCTAATAGAATAAGAAATAATTTTCACTGAAATAAATCGAAAATGAATCACAGTAAGTCATAAATTCTTAGTATATTTATGAAGTAAAAATTCATCCATCAACTTCACTTTCGCGAATCAATATCGATTCATCAAAATATATTTGTCTGTACAAGGATGCTCTATCCGTTCTGTCCATTTGATCCGTTCTGTCCATTCTATCCTTTAAAGAAATTCTGTCTGCCTTAGAATTTTTGGATGAAATTGAAATTTTATCCGACGTTCCATCAGTTGGTGGCTTTGGCCAAACTTTCATTTTGAATTTAGTCTTTAGTCTCGATTTTAGTGTTGATGTTGATGTTTTTGAAGCTGTTGACGCAGCTGTTGATGTGGCTATTGATGCAGATGTTGATACAGATGCTGATGTAGCATCTAATGCAGAGGTTGATGCAGCTGTTGATGCAGCTGTTGATGCATTTGTTGAAGCTGCAGCAGAGCCAGTTCCCCCTGGCAGCGGGGGGCGGAGGCGCCCCCCTCTGAGGGCTGTCAGCTCACACGCCCACCGCCGCAAGAGGGCGGGGGGAAGAGGGAAGCGCAGCCCTCCTGCCCTCGCTGCGTCCCTCGCCCACTGGGCTTCCGCGGCCTTCCAGTCGAAGAAGACCAGCCCGGTGGGCTTGTCGCAGCCCACTGGTCGGGTGGGCTTGTCGCAGCCCACTGGCCCGGTGGGCTTGTTGCAGTCCACTGGTCGGGTGGGCTTGTCGCAGCCCACTGGTCGGGTGGGCTTGTCGCAGCCCACTGGTCGGGTGGGCTTGTCGCAGCCCACTGACCCGGTGGGCTTGTCGTGGCCCACTGGTCGGGTGGGCTTGTCGCAGCCCACTGGTCGGGTGGGCTTGTCGCAGCCCACTGGTCGGGTGTGCTTGTCGCAGCCCACTGGTCGGGTGGGCTCGTCGCAGCCCACTGGTCGGGTGGGCTTGTCGCAGCCTGCTGATCGGGTGGGCTTGTCGCAGCCCACTGGCCCGCGGTTGGGTCGGTCGACGAGGTCTGTATTTTCCAGTGGGCTGCAAAACGATGTTTTATTATCTAATAATGCTAATGATAAGCATTAGAGAATTGTTATCATTATCAGAAGCATAAAAACAGCCGTAATATAAACAACGATAAAATTAAAACCAAAGATCGTGAGTTTCAGTTAAAAAGACATTCGATGCCAAATTTCGAATAATTTGAAGTTAATCCCAATATATATTTATCTCAATCGTTAAATGCATGATAGAGTTCAAAGTCTGTGTTTCATACGTCACCTCATATTCTTTTAGCAGCGCGATAAATTTTTTTGAAAATTGATAGTGAACGTCAAAAATTTTCCAACATTCGGCAAATCTTTGAAAGTAGTCACAACTGATCACCAGCTGCACGCACTCCGAGCATACCTCAACCAGAACTCCACGGCGGCTGCCGGACAACTGAGCACCCACGTCTCAGGGCTCCTTATATACCCCACCCACCCCAGCGGCTGGTGGAGGAGTGACTCAAATAATTTGTATTCGGCAGCCGTCATTATGTGTGTCAAGAAGAACCGTTAGGATGCGATGAGCGTGACATGGCTACTAATATCATTGGCATGTAATTCACATAAAATCCCTTAAAATTTATCCCTTTTTAGTGGAATTCACACGAATATCTTAAAGTTCATCCACTCATGCCGGCACTGCTCACCCTGAGCTCACTCGACAGCATCTTTATCAGAGCATCTTTATTTATTTATCTTTAATACGAATTAATACGCTCAGCATCGAAGAACTCAAACATTTTTTTTTAAACTTCCTTAATTTCAGAAAAATCTGAAATACTGACAAGTCAGTTTTTCAATAAAATTAGTTAGCTAGAAGAATCGTGTCAAATACGAATTTCCGTAAACACAAAATTCTTCCACTCTTTTCCATGAACGAAAAGCCTGAATGAGTGGATCATTTTGTCCAAATACTGACGCAGTTTATCATTCACAGCGCGGGCAGACAACTGACGTAGCACTAATACATCATTCAGCCGACACAAACTTGGTCAGGACAGCCCGCACAAGTACAAAGAGTGCATCGATATTTAGACAAAAAACTAACATTTCTTTTGAGTGTTTGGCCGCCTATACGACGATCGGTTCGAAGTTCAAAGCTCGATTGGTGTGAGGAAATACAAATATTATCGTGGTCGAATATTTCAGCAAATATTTAATGACTTATCACTGTTAAATAAGATGTAGTATAACTGAATATGTGTCATGCAGATATATGAATATACACAACTGGCATCGTGTCACCATTACGATAAGAGGAACGCGGACTTAACGCGTACGATTATAATAATATAAAGATTTCCAAAATAATGTTGTACGTCATAATTTAAAGCATAACACCAAATTTACTTTGCCATGAAAAAACATATTCAAAAACATCTCATAACGTAAGTGCCTGGTTGTTCTGTGAGCCAAATATCATCAAATCCGCGAACTTATCGTGGTAAATTTGATGATCCTTTATTGTAATATCTCGGTATTGTTATCTTACGCCTCGTTTCATAATGTTTTGCAATGTTCCATAATATCGGGACACGATTATTGTCCCAATTCACAAATCTATTCTGAGACATTTCTCGTCTCGATGGCATGATAAAAATAAAAACAATTCATTTGATAAAACATTTGATAAAACATTTGATAAAACAAAGCTGTATAGTTCACGACATCTTTTTTAGATACGACATGAAAGTTTGGATAACATTCGCGACAGGTTAGGCAAGCAGAGTAGATTGAGTTAGTTTCTGCACGAAATTTACTTTAGAATTTAACAATAACTTTAACTGCAAATGAATAATAAATCACCGTATTTATTTCAATTGAAGCTTATAAATAACTGGACGTTAGGCAAAAATTCGTTTATAATTGCAAACGAATTTGAATTTCATGAGTTTTTCTAATGTATACTTCACCTTCAGATCCTGGCTAGTGCAAATGCTGCTCAGGATTGGCCAAGAATCTGCAGTGCGGTTGCCCGCTCTAACAAAATTTAGGGTCGCCCCAGCTTCTGGTAATCCAAATCAGAAGCTGCCGCGTCTGTAAAATTTCACTGGGCGCTGTCACGGCGCAGAGCTCGGCGTGCTGCTCAACACTACTACCGAATGATATAAAAATTACAAAGATCTCATGAGATAAAGAAATAAATAGGAGAGAATAAGCTAAAATAATGACGGCAACGGCTTTCACCGCTGATACACTACCTCCAAGCCGCTCATCGATAAAAATGGATAATCAAATCGGTACTCCGCCCTATACTATAACAATATTATTGCGAGATTAAACAACCTCCAAGTCACTCTTCGATATAGGTGGGTGATAAAAACATAAACCTGAACCTATATATATTCCCTAATAGATGTGAGTGACCAATTCACACCAACACCAACCTATACAAGCATCTGCTATAGTCGGATGCTATTTATATGGCATGCATCTTATGAATTCAAAGTACAATTTCATCCTTGCTTTCATTCAAAAACATAAAAAACACCAAATAATTTTTGTAAATTTAGAGTCTGCTGTTAATAGTTATTGAGATTTTAAATTTCATGAGCAGGTTTGAATTTTGGTGAAGTGTGACGCTGACGCCCCTTAAAATGTCGCTTATAAAAATTTTTGTGTTGGATATAAATGTATTGGATAAAACATCAGTTACTAGGATGAGAATATAGGGTCTTCAATTGCGAGGAAAAAACTGGACCGTGCAGAGTTTTTGTTTGTCTCCACGTATAATAGTTCAACTGTATTTATAATCTTGTTTAGTCTTATAATGCTTTATGAGAAGGCTTCAGAAAAGGAGATGGGACGAAGTATCTAGGCCATTTGTCTGCAAGGCAATCTAATGAAGTAAGGAAATAGGCAATAAATAATAACCTGTTGGCGGTGAGACTGCTTCTGTACTCGCTGGTGAGAGATGAGATGAAATTCTGTACGACGCATGCATGGTTCACGTAAATTTCATTAATTTCGAACCTCCTTATCCGCAGCCGCAGCTGCTGTGCTGCTGGACAGCTCAATTAATGAACGGCAACTGTTGTCTCCACCCCTTCCTCAATTAACGTGACGAACGTGGGGTGCGTGCAGCCCCAGCTTCTGGTGGTTCCCCGCCCTGCCCCACAACTTCCCCGTAAGATGTGCCAGAGCATGTGGCCCACTGGGGAACTCTACATCAAGCCCATCAACTACCCCGTCCTAATATCCTACCACCGGTCGAAGGGTGAGTTTATACATGTATATCACCAACTACCTCGCCGTCGTATCCTACCACATGTCCTAAGGTGAGTTCAAACCTAGTCAGCCCACCAACTACCCCGCCTTCATATCCTACCTCCTGTCTAAGGGTGAGTTATGCATTTCTGCTATTGCCTGCATTGGGGCGGAGAAGTGATGCCTTGAATGCATTCGATCGATGAGTTTACAAAGCCTCGTTCGTTCCAGTGCGAAATAGTACATATAAATCTGTCTATCTAAAGGATGAATATTTATGCCAACATGTATTTTTGCACTCCAGAAGTGACCACTTCGTATCAGGTCAGAGTGACGTGCAGGTCGGGGCGACCCGCATCGGCACCACAGACGAGTTCCAGTAGTGACGGCACCATGGTATCTCTCATGGTATGGTATCGGCATGGTATCTCTCAATATTCATTTTAAGTATTTAAATTTTACTAACTTATGTTCAAGAATGTTGTGTGTCTTAATAGATAATAAAAAATTAATGTTCAGTAACACATTTACTACATTGTATTGTACCGGATTTGCGTGCCAAATTTTTGCATATTAGATTCCATACAACAGTGGCATTATAACAGGCCGGGTTGCCAGATGGCCTAAAAAATGGCCGCCAAGTCCAGGGATAAAAAATATAACTCAGTAGGGTAACGTGGGGCAGCGCGCCCCCCACTTTTTTTAAACTAAATTTTTGATGAAGTTTTAATTGATACGAGGTGGTTCTTTGTTTTGTTTAAAGGTGCAACTAATGAGGAATGTATGATGTGAATTAGACGCCTATAGAGTTATTCAATTTTTAATGAAACACTATTTTGTAAAAAGTGTCAAAATGGGTAGCACAATAGCTCCACTTTTCCATAAATGAGAAAATGCGTTAAAAAGGCCTTCAACTCAATATATGCTATTATATTTGTAAATTTCTGTGTAAAAATTTCATTCTACTTTGGTATCACTTCTTAAAATGCAATAAGGAAGTTCGACCATCATAAATTTTAGCCGGCCAACGCAATTAAAAAAAAACAAAAAATCGCAATTTGTCCGAAAAAAAAAACATTTTGCAACCTCGGTAACAGGTACAGGAGCTGCCGGATGGTGGCAACATAAACAGGTCAAATCTTCTCACAAAAATGCACCAAACTGACCCCTTATATTGTTAATAATTAGTATGTTGATTATTTGCTTAGCTGCAATTAAATCCTTCATTTTTTATGCATTGAAAAATGAAATAATTTTAAGGTATCATAGATTTGTAGGGATCACCGATATTCGTTATTCATTTTCGTGTTTATCCTCAAACAGTTAGCAGTCAACCAACCATCCGAACTTCTTATAGATTGACTTTTCACAAATACATTGTTCATAACATCTGCCTGTTTAATTCCTCATATAGGTTTCCCTGTTCGTACTTCACTTAGCTTATAGCGGTACCGATATACCCGCTATAGATTTAAGCCTGTAACCACCATCGGAAAAAGGCCCAAATTTTCATATTTTACCAGAAAATGCCCATTTGGAAATTCTGACTTTGGCCAGGCATTCATTAACGAGACACAACCTTTATTATTTAGCTGATGTTCGATTGGTAAATATAGTCGCAAATTTTAAGAGCACTCAATTAATTCTTAATCTAAAAGTCTAGCTATTTAGTCTCAACCTAACTACCAAACCCAACTCAATCTCCAGGTCACGGTACGCGAAATTTTGCGGCCAGGAAGGCCCCTAAATAAGGCCAAGATTACTGTGCGGTGAGCAGGATCTCTGAAAAATCGGCCAACTTGCGGCCGTGCATGCGTGTTGCTTTCACTATCATATTAAGCTTGTAATATATGGTTTGAATATTTATACACGTTTCAAATTTCGAGGATAATTAAATAATTTCGCGTACATATATTTATTATTGATACTATTTTCTCGTATTTAGAGTTCATTTTATTCCATGACCTGAATTGTCAAAAGTCAAACGAATAATGACACGAAGGGCTCGTGATTTATTAAGAGGCATAAAATAATGAAAAACATGAGCATTCACTGAAATCTGGTAAATTAAAATTAAATTTAGCACGTAGAAGGTTAAAACAATGTTTCTCGTATTCCACCGTCAAAGTAAAGATCATTGACCGATTAAATTCGAAAAATCTTCTATAAATTTCATTGTTTCATTACACTCGTGTTTCTTTACTGATGATGAAGCAAATGCCGAATATCCACTTAATCCAGCTACAGATGCTATTCCTGAGGTTTCTTGACATGGAAAGGAA